AATAAAGTGCTTTTGCTTTCGCCTAGAAACACACAGCGTCTCTCTGACATGCTGCTTCAACACTAACTGCGGTTACTGAAACCACGCCTTCTTTCTTTGCTGCACATTTGGGCGGCATTATGCAAATATTTCCACATAGTGAGGTAGATATGTGGGGGCGTGTTAGAACGAGCCGTTTTAGGGGGGCGTTTTAGAATATCTCTTTGGTTTTGAGACTTAAGTCTTTGCAACTTCAGGGATCTTATCTATGCACAATCAGCTTGTAACACTCCAAAGAGAAAGGAAAACTTGAAATCGCATCATATGACCCCTTTAAAATCAAACAAGCAAGCCTTGTCCAGATTTAAAAAGTAACGCATTACTTTCCATAAAAAGTAACTAAGTAATGCAATTAGTTACTTTTTTATGGAGTAACACAATACTGTAATGCATTACTTTTAAAAGTAACTTTCCCCAACACTGTTAATATAATAAAGCAATAAATGACGGCAAATCGAAGTGATACTTGTAGATTTAAAAATAAAACTGCCAATAGGTGGCGGCAAGTCGCTGTCTTAATGAGCCAGGCGTCGCGTCATTCATTCATTCATTCATTCAGTAACGAAGCAAAATGCTGTAGTTATGAATGGGTTATTAATCACTGACACTGACTCTCCAAATCGTTCAAAGCCGCAGATTCGTTCACTAACAAAACACTGCTGTATGATGCTTGGAGACACACATCAGATGATACGGATTTCATTGGAACTATTATTTCGTTGCAAAATAGAACAAACATGACAACATTCTGTTCAAAATGTAGGCTACATTTAAAATGTAAAATGTTCACTTAATATTACCTATTTTGTTGAACTGTTGACGATTTACATTTACATTTAGTCATTTAGCAGACGCTTTTATCCAAAGCGACTTACAATTGGGGGATTTACTTTACTTTAAAGATACATTGAACAGCAGCGCGATTTGCTAAATCAGCATATTCAGCAGCCATCCTATCACTTGCACGCTGCTTGTGTGGATGTCGTCAGTTTTGACCGCAAAACAAAATATGAGGTAAGCTGATTGGATATCATGTATTTGACCTTTTACGGGACCCCCATTTTCCTGTTTTTACATTAGAAGCGGCATTTTGCTTGTCAGAAATACGTTCGGTTTTAATGTTGCTTTAAGTTGGGGTATTAAATGAATACCAAAACTCAGAATTTTGTTCACGTACCCCTCACCGTCATCTCACGTACCCCACGCTAACCGCGCCGGAGCACAGAACAGATACTATTTTGTGTGCGCTACTGTCATCATTACGTCCGCTGCAAACATATTCTATTACTACTACTACACTACACTTTTCAATTAATTGAATCAAGTATATTTAGGTTTATAATGGCTCTTACCTTATTGATGAACAGGAAATGTAATTTGCAAGTAAAGCACCAAATAATTTAATTAACGTCAGCTGCCTCCATAATAATTTTCTGATACATACAAGTGAAAATCAATGCAAGGCATAAATTATAAATGAATTATTATTAATTATTCGGCAGAATATTAGCGAAAGTGGTTTTCTCCATTATCTAATACATGACGTAAGTGTGCTCCGGCCCGGAATGTTTAGTGCAAGTGTGAGTGCAGGCCGGGGTGGGGGTGAGGAGGGGGGATAATCGCACTCGGTTTAAGGCAACCGTGCCTAGTGTGAGTACACTTATCACAATTTCATTTTCTGTTCGATTAGTGTTCACTACAAAACTGTGGGGGGGCAGATTGTATTATGATGGTTCATCATTGTAAAATAGGCGTTTGATCTAGAGTGCAATAAAGCAGGAGAATTAATCAGTTTAAAAAGGCTATTATTCACCTCCTGTATGTGCTTTAATTCTTTTGCGTTTTGCATAAATTACAGTTGATTCATGTGAAATATCCACTCCTGTACATCCTTTGCAATATCATCAGACAATCTCTTGTCGGTGGAAAGACTGTAAAGCCGCGAGATGCATATCACCACAGATGGCGGTAATGAACAAATTTAGTTTGTGATCTAGTCAGAAGTAGACGCCGCACTGCTTCAATGCATTACAGGCTCGTGACTCGTCAGAACGCAAAACAGAATGTAGCGTTTGGTCCCGCTACTTGCTGGAAAAAATAGTTGGCTACCAGAAAAGCTACACTGTTTTAAAGGTAGCGGAGCTACC